TCTTTTAGAGACTTCATGGATTTCAAAACTTTATCAAAGAATTTGAGGATTTTATCCCTACGTACTACAGCTTCAGGAAGAACAATTAACTGGACAGACATCATGGAAGTTAAAGTTGATAAGCTACACCAAGATAAAATATTTTTCAAGACGAGCCATTTAACAGAAGATTATGATTTCATTCAATTAAAAAGAGGCGCAGCAAATACTGAAATGTCAGTTAGACCACTATACGCCTCATCAATAAATATTTCTAATAAGAAATATAATGACCTCCTTGCGTTATGTAATGGAAAAAATCCAGTGATAAGACTACCGGAGATAAAGAAATTTTATGAAGACTTACCTCACGATAAGGCTTAGGTTTAGTTTTTTTGAATAGATTTTGAGAATTTTTGTATATTTTTTGCTTATTAGTGTCTTACCTTTGTCAATAAAATTATTAACAAGAACTTTTCTCTCTTCCTTCCTCTGATTATAAACCATCATGTATGCATCTTGTTCGTCGTATCTTCCGTTACATAATTAAAGAATTATTTTTGGCAACACGAAATGACGTATCTGACTTATCAATTTTTTTCTCAAAACTTATTCAGCATACAATCATTTTGCTAGCTGCAGTTGAAAACTAGTGGATTTGAGTATGATAGGCTCAAAAAGTTTTGTGAAACACTTTTTATTGTATGACATACAGCTTCTAAAAGAGACCCCTTTTTCTTGTTTTCTCTCTCCTGTAAAATTATGGAAATGTCAGTTACGACACTTCTTGTTTTGGGGGACGACATGTCAGACAAGTCCAGCTCTTCCATTTTGGGCAAAAAAAAGTTTGTTATCATCGCACGGTAGCGCTAGCCATTCACAGTTACGTTCCGGCCATTGTCGTCTTTGAAGAAGTACGGCCCGATGATGCCACCGGCCCATAATCCACACCAAACAGTGATTTTTTCGGGATGCATTGGTAGCTCTTGCAATGCTTCTGGCTGGTCTTCACTCCAGATGCGGCAATTTTGCTTGTTAACGTACCCATTCAACCAGAAATGAGCTTCGTCGCTGAACACAATTTTTCGATAAAAATGTGGATCTTCCTCCAACTTTGCCAGCGCCTATTCACCAAATTGGAAACGTTGTGGGAGGTCGTGTGGCTTCAATTCTTGCACCAGCTGTATCTTATAAGGTTTTACACCCAAATCCTGTCGCAAAATTTTCCACGTAGTGGAGTAACAGAGGCCCAATTGCTGCGAACGGCGGCGAATCGACATTTCACGGTCATCACTAACACTGGCGGATACAGTCGCAATATTTTCTTCAGTCCTCATTCTACGTCTGCGTATTGGTGGTTTAATGTCCAATAATGTAAACTGGTTTCGAAATTTAGTCACAAGCTTCCGAATAGCTGACTCAGTAGGCTGACCAAGTTGCCCATAAATTGGAAGCAGTGCTCGATGCACTTTCTTAACCGAGCATGAATTTTGATAGTAAAATTCAATAATTTGCAAGCGTTGTTCGTTCGTAAGTCGATTCATGGTTAAATTATAGACCAAACTGAACAAGTTTGACAATTACACAATACACGATTCACGCGTCATCTGTCAAAAACAGTGTTGCCAAAAAGATACTAGCCAAAAAAGCACCCTATAATACGTTTATGAGCAAGTAAATGAAGAGAATGAGATTTGAACACTATCTTGATTAGGTAGCTATGATGCTTACTGCCGAATGACGTCAGTTGGCTTATTGTGTTTCTCTCAGCAAGCTCTTTCATTTGATACCCATATCATATAGTATGGAGCTGATAAATCGCCATTATGTAGCATAATGCTATATTAGATTAAAAATGGCGGCAGTTAATTCATTATGTATTGTCACGCGAACCAGACAGCACAATTGGTTAAGGTTAATTCATTCAAAATTCAGTTTCAGGATTTGTCTCACACATGCATACTAACCAACTCATATACTAACAGTTACGTGTACAAGGCTTGTAACAAGTGCCACTGTTAAAGCAATTTATATCGAAATCTCAGCTCAAATTAAGCCAGTAGAAAATGGGGTCAATTCGTGTGTCTCCCCAAAAATACGCTGAATTGCCAAACTATCTAAGTAAAATTTTTTTAGTTACCTAAATGCGCATCGCTGACTTTATAAGCGACTTTGTATTGTATTGCTTACTGTTTCCGAATTTGAAATCCCCAGCGCATATACAGGGTGGCGCATCACAATTCTTTGTCGCAGATCTTCTAATGATGTTGGCTGACTAGCATAGATTTTGCTTTTTAAATGACCCCACACAAATAAATCCAAAGGTGATGAATCTGGCGATCTTGGGGGCCACTCAATGGCACCTCTTCTACCAATCCATCGATCTGGAAACGTCTGATCTAAATATTGTCGAACACGTAATGCGTAATGTGGTGGGGCACCGTCCTGTTGGAACATCAACCTTTTCGCAATGTACCGTACCATTCTGATTTTCAATTATGGCTGTTAATGCAGGATCTATGGCGTCTTCCAGTAATTAGAAATACATTTCACCGGTCAAATTTCCAGGTAAGAAAAAAGGACCAACTAAATGATCGCCAAACATTTAATTTTTGTGGCTGCTGTGTATGAACCTCATGATAAATTCTGGGATTAGAATCGGACCAATATCGGCAGTTATGACGATTTACTACGCCGTTTAAAAAAAAGGAACATTCGTCGGAAAAGCAAGTGTTGAATAGAAACTGTTCATCGTTTATAATTCGTTCACTCACATCTTCACAAAATTGTAATCGCCGATTAAAATCGTCTTCATTGTGTTCTTGCTCCAGGTGAATTTTATACGGATGAAAGCTATAGGTCTTTATAATCCGTTGGACAGTACGTCGACTAACACCACACACAGTCTCCAACTTGCGGGTACTTGAAGTAGAATCTACATAATTTTGCCCTAAAACCCCCACTTCTATTGCTTCGTTCCTTATGGGATTTTCAGTGTTCCGCTTTTTATTGGCGACTGACCCAGTTTCCCGAAATTTAGCTACAAGTTCTAGAACATATTTTCGATGCACGTTACTGTTCTCATGTCGCTCATTACATATTTCTGCTGTTCTATTAGCGCACTGATTATTTCCGAAAAATATTTCGATAATTTCAACTTTTTCTGCTGTGGAATATACCATGGTTAATTTATGTAATAAAGCGTTACAAGTTATTTTAGCAACAAAGTTTGGTCAAATCAATCGCAAACTATGTACTAAATTCCTATTTAAAATAAGTACGAGATATTTCCTTACCTTTCTTCAAGAAAAAACTTTTTGCAAAAAAAAACGCTCCAATAGCTATTTTCAACAACAGAATGATAAACAAACCACGCGCATAGTGAAGAAAAGCATTTACTTATTTAGTTAATTCTTGTAGTCAAATTTCTTCTGAAAGTAGTACAAACTAATCTGATGTACCTATTAAAGTCTACTTTAAGCTTTAAATCAATAAATCTTCAAAACTACTGAACTGAAGCTCATGTATTTTACATCATTATAAAGGGAATTGAAAGACCTTTACAATAAGGTATCACTCGACCCCCCTTTCCATTTAAGATTTTAGGGTTGGTGTCACCCCTGCCCAGGGGGCTGCACGTGTTAACGTGATTTTTTGCCAAACTTGTGTCCCCCTCGAAAACAAAATAGACGGGTCTGAGCGTATTTCAAAAAAAAACTGAGCTGCTAGTTAATGCGTCTGTTTCATTTTCGATGCGCCACCCTGTATATATGGAGTGATTTTAGCAAAGTTGAATTAAAAGATTTCACATTTGGGTACTCGCCCAACCAACTTGCAGATACTTTTTCTTATTTCTAATTTATACGGAATCTTAAAGCTAAAACTTTAAAATAAATAAATGTCAACTGACAGTAAAGTAGGCAAACAAACTTTTGTTTCCAAAGGCGACTTAATATTATTTTGTGTTTGTTAAAATCAAAGACAATAAATCTTGTGCCAAAACTTTTAGGGCATACGTTACATGATATAAATCCTTATGTTCATGTGTCTCAGTTTCAGAAATAATATCAACGACACGTTTTCTTCTATGATGTTGGTTTATATGGTAGTTATAGTTCTCATCCTGTGCATGGAAATGTATCTTATATTTTTAGCGTAAGTACTCTATTTATACAGGATATCTGCGAAAGGTTGGAAAATCTCGAAACTGGAGATATGTACTACAGACCAAAACATGTGAATTGACCTAAGCATACCTCAGTCCAAAAGTTGATAGTTTGTGAGATACGGGGGGGTGTCAAAGTTACAATTTTATGTTCTATTTTTCCTTATTGCTTGAGAAGTATTTCAGATTTTGGTATGAAACTCGGTATAGAGAGGTCTTCTAGAATGAGAAACAAGAATCCGTTATTTTTTATGACCAAACTTCTAGAGGGCGCCACTTACGGTAAATAACTTATCATAACTTTTTTGTGCTATCCGTCCAAAAGTTGATAGTTTGCGAGATACGGGGGGGTGTCAAAGTTACAATTTTTGTTTTCTATTTTTCCTTATTGCTTGAGAAGTATTTCAGATTTTGGCATGAAATTCGGTATAGAGAAGTCTTCTAGAATGAGAAACAAGAATCCGTTATTTTTTATGGCCAAACTTCTAGAGGGCGCCATTTACGGTAAATAACTTATCATAACTTTTTTGTGCTATCCTGTATACAACAAGTGATCTTGTTTTCTCTTATTTATAATAAAAAAAGCTGACATTTTTCGAGATATTTGTTTTTAAATGTTCCAGTGCATTATTTGTTCCATGATGATAAACCATTTTTATAATATAATAATCAAGCTGCTTTGGATAATATCTGAGTAGCGTTTCAATGTTTGTTAAAATATTGTTTTAAACTGCATGAATAATTTTAAGTTGACAATAAGTTGTTAAACATCGTCACGTTTGATGAATATTCTGATATGCATTTAATGTACGGATTGGCAAAATGTATCTAATACTTTAAAAGCACGAAGATTGTACGCTGACAGATTCCCTAATAGACACCTGCCTAATTCAAAGACCTTCCAACGAATCGATCAGCGGTTACGAGAAACTGGTAAGAAAAGATTATAGGCTTATCTTGAGTAGTGAAAGCCATTTGGATTTTGGGTAGTTTTGCTCAAAATATGTGTCGAATAGTGGAGCTCCCAGAACTGTACGTACAGCTGAAGTTGAAGAAAATTTTAGGTGCTGCCTTTGAGAATCCTACAGTTGGGGTTAGGAATGTAGCTTGAGATTTTCAAGTTTCCAAATGTACAGTAAACGCCATTGTTGAAGAGCAACTGCTCAATCCATACCACCTGCAAAAAGTACATGGTTTAAGCGAGGCTGATGACCCGGCAAGGGTAGAATTTTGTACATGACTCTTAAGAAAATTTAACCACGACAATGGTTTTACTTCGTTAATATTATTTTCGGACGAAGCAGGATTAACTCACATTTATACAGACAAAAATCCTCATGCAATAATATAAACCAGCCACCAAGTACAATTTCAAATTAATTTATGACCAGGAATAATTGGACAATATTTAATAGCATCCGTTGAGTTACCACCTAGACTAAATGGCCAATGGTATTTACAATTTCTTGAAGAACAATTACCCACTCTGCTGGAAGACCTTCCATTACAACCACGCATGAATATGTAGTTCAAGACGGATCAAGACCTGTATCGTGGCCGGCTAGATCTCCAGATTTAAATCCTATGGATTTCTTCTGCTGGTATGATTTAAAACGATGCGTTTACAATACGATAGGGAAAACTGTAGGTGATCTTCGACAAAGAATTTTCCACCATAGCCAGGAAATGATAAGTAACATCCGAATGCTTTGGAGAGTGCTGCAAGGGTTAGTTCGTCGAGCTCGAGAGTGTGTTAGGCGCGGTGCTGTTCATTTTGAACAATTTTTGTAGTTATTATTTCCGTTTGTTAGTCTTGTTGCCATCCTCATTTGTTATTGTTAAAAACCATAGCAACGTTACTAAGATATTATCCAAAGCAACTTGATTATTATGTTATAGAAATGTTTTATCATCATAATACAAATAATGCATTGGAACCTTTAAAAATGAATATCTCGAAAACTATTAGCTTTAGACACTCCTAACAAGTGAACCTTTTTTGTTACGGAAATACGAGAAAATAATATTTTCAGATCAGTTGTTGTATACAGGGTAGAACAAGAAGGTTATTATAAGTTATTTACCGAGATAGTGTTGTAAGTGGCGCACTCTAGGATTTTGGCCATAAAAAAATAACGGATTCTTGTTTCCCTTACTAGAAAACCTTCCTATGCCGAGTGTTATGACAGAATCTGGAATACTTCTCAAACAATAAGGAAAAATAGAAAATAAAGTTGTAACTTTGACACCCTATATTTTGCAAACTATCAAGTTTTGGACCAAGGTATGTTTTGGTCTGTAGTATCTCCAGTTTCGAGATTTCCCAACCTTCCCTGTATATACGAACAGGTAAACAGAAAGTACCATTTATTATCTTCATTCTTTTCCAAATGTGAATAATAAAAGCGTACAACAACAACAACAAGCCGACTATTTTGTAACAAGTCAGAAAACATACATATGAGAAACGGAGCATTGCAGCGCATGTAATTAAAGATAAATCAAGCTGGAGGTATAAGTGAACCAATGTTTTTTAGAGACACCGTTGAAGAAATTATGAGGGCAGTTATATATTCGGCATTGATGTTTTTTGAGTTTTTTATCTGCTATTGTTTCCCTGCCCAGGAATTGATGACACAGGTGAGTTAGTAGATTAGACGCATGGAAGTTTCTATAATATAATCGAAAAAGTAATACCGAAGAAGCTACGAAAATGAGATTTCAAGTATTTGTGGTATGCCGACGGCTGTTTTTGCTGTTTGTTTGTTCAAAAGATTTTTTTCAAGCTTCCTTCTCCGCCTTTTTCGGCAGAAGGACAGCTTGGATATTCGGAAGAACTCCCCTTTGAGCGAGTGTGCCGTCTGACAGCAGTTTGTTCGATTCTTCGTCGTTTCTGATGGCGAATTGCAGATGACGTGGAATAATGCGGGTCTTTTTATTCTCGCGAGCAGCGCTGCCTGCCAATTCCAAAACTTCAGCGGCCAAGTATTCCATAACGGCTGCAGGGTATACGGCAGCTCCGGCACCGACGCGTTCAGCATAATTCCCTATTCGCAATAACCTGCGGATACGGAAAATTTTAAGCCGGCTCTGCTGGATCGGGATTTTGCATTCCCCTCAACTGACATCTTCAATTTGTTAATCCGCTAAGCGAGCGATGTCGACTAGAAACTTGCAAATAAACCGGCAATGAAGAGTTTTTTGTCCCTGCCAATGCGTTCGATTGAATGCCAAAAAAGCGTTTTCTCAATCTTTGTTGTCGAATAAAAAGTTTTCCCACAAAAAGTGGTGTACCCATTTTGTGCGTCCATGTTTTCAATACCCCCTTGAACAACTTGCACCAATAAAACTAGACTTAACAATTATTTTTTGTTATTTAAGTTATCGACCGAGCCCACTCTATAAACACACACAGTATGCAGGGTGTTTCAGTTTATTGTGGCATAACTTTAAGATTCGATAGAACTTTTAAAATTAATGTATATATATATATATATATATATATATATATATTGTCATATTTTATATAATTTTGACCATTGTACAATCTATCCAGCTCTCACCATGTTACTGGACGTTTCCCTCATCCTATACGTAAACAACAATTAGCAACATCCTCACATACTACTGTAAGTTGAGTCAATTTAAATTCATTTTACACCTTTGTTGCTACTGTTATCATTGCAATTGCAGCTCCTGATGATGATGGCAAAGTCCATTGAAAGCTAGAGAGAATTAAAAAAAGTATAAAGAGTCCTCTTTGCTTAAATTTTGTCGAAGTACCCAACAAAAGGCGGAAGCTTTAATTTTTCACCTAACTGGTCTAGACGACAATGACACGTCTCAACAAACAATATATATATATATATATATATATATATCTATATAAACATGGGTCGAAAAATGCGTGGCTTCCGAAATACAGGGTGTTTAAATTTACTTTCTAAAATAGTTTTTTTAAATATTTCGAACAATATTTGATGTATAACAGTGAAAATTGATATACAAGGGTTTTTTGGTACGACAAAACGAACCATGGGCATAGTTTTACTGTAGCCGCTAGAGGGCGCTCTCTACTGAACCTGTAGTGTATTAAAATGACCTAAAACCTTTTTCTTAGTGCAATTTTTTGCTTTTTGAATAAAAAACTGATTCTTCGCACTTTTTAACATAAAAAAGCTCTCTTGTGAGTTTCAGTTTTTGAGAAATTTCGATTTTAAGGTTCGATGCATTTTTAATTATTTAAGAGAAAATAATATTTTTTTTTACATTTTGGATTTGGGCATTACAAGTAATTAAGATGATCGTTTAGATTGTGTTTTTAAACACAGCAATAATTCCTAACTCCAAATAAACACAAAAAAACAGAATATTAATTTGTTTAATTTTAAGAACACGGTGAACATGGCTTGCTGAATTTCCCAAGGCACCAGAAACTCTCCTAACACTTGTGGTCGGATCTCTATCAAACTCACGCAGAATCATACGGGTAAATCTGCGCTGACGAACATTTATGTTTTGATTCCTTTGGGGATTTCCAAAACCATTTTCAATTATTTGGCGATGCACTCTTACAAATACTGAGCGAGTTGGATGTCGTCTGTTTGGAAATCTTCGTGCGTATTCTCTGACTGCTTCTGCTGCGTTTCCATTTACAAAGCAATACACAAGATGAATATCCGCTAACTCTTGATTGGAGAATAAAAATAGCATTTTTATAAAACTTACAGAAAAAAAACAGGTAAAAGAAACTAAATTTCGTGCATTCACAATTGCAAAAAACGTTTCAGGTTTCAACAGACAACAAAACTAACTGTCAACTAATTCACGTTTAACCTTATTCTGCTTTCAATTTCAAAAATATTTGCAGGAACAGCCTACTTCTAAAAATTATCGAGATACTGACTTTTTAACGTTATTTTATCATAAATAATTAAAAATGCATCGAACCTTAAAAATCGAAATTTCTCAAAAACTAAAACTCACATGAGAGCTTTTTTATGTTAAAAGTGCGAAGAATCAGTTTTTTATTCAAAAAGCAAAAAATTGCACTAAGAAAAAAGTTTTAGGTCATTTTAATACACTACAGGTTCAGTAGAGAGCGCCCTCTACCGGCTACAGTAAAACTATGCCCATGGTTCGTTTTGTCGTACCAAAAAACCCTTGTATACCAATTTTCACTGTTATACATCAAATATTGTTCGAAATATTTAAAAAAAACTATTTTAGAAAGTAAATTTAAATACCCTGTATTTCGGAAGCCACGCATTTGTCGACCCATGTTTATATAGACTTTATGCATTAATTTTAAAAGTTCTATCGAACCTTAAAGTTATGCAACAATAAACTGAAGCACCCTGTATGGTGGAGGTACTCGGCATAATGCACGGAATCCTTCCTTGTGTTACTCTTCCGCGTACGACTAATCCGAAAATCCCTTATTCGGCTCCGTACTATTATAGCGTGTGTCGTATGCCATTTTTTTGCAATTATGAACCGTAGTCCTTTCTACAATCTTGCAACTACAGAATGTGCATGTTTTAGAGCAAAGAACTTCCCGACATCTTGTACTGCACAAACTGGTACAGATATCAGAAACATTCCAAAGATGTGTTGACGTTTCTTGGCAAATGTCAAGTACCAATAACGTTGAATGTAGGAGGAATGGTTGAATTGGACCTAAGAACAGCAGTCGCGGTAATGTATTTAAGCAATTTACACCTGTATGAGGAAAGCCTAACTAACTGGCGATTGTAGAACCCCCATACGATATGGGGTAAGATTAGTTATGTCACAGCCGACGTCAACTACGAGCCGTGATGAAAGAAAGGCAACACCGCGTTCGGACGGCATGGTAGTGCTACCTGTGAACGTCGGCCGCCAGCGGCTGTGTGCTCCGGGTAACGTTCAAGAACTAAATTTAATTTTGGAAAAGAGGACAGTTCGATTCGATACAAATCGTCTGAATATGAAATAGCTCTAAAAAATTTAAAAATACGAAATAATCGTGATATATAAATATGAGTGGCTAATGCAGTTAACCTAATTAAAAGTATTTAGTTTACGTTTTTTGGTGACAGCACACTGTGTTCCAACAGGCCCAGCTTGGAAATGTGGAGTTACCTGTTTGTTTTTAATACATTTACTTTCAGTTTTACTGTTATTTTTCAATTTTACATAATCATTCAAAATTATGTTTGAAAAAATAGACAAAAGCTTAGATAAAATATCTGCATAATTGCGGCCACAGGTGCAAGTTAAAGAAAATTCACTGTATATAAAGTCAGACTGAATGCTGAGCAAAGTTAACTGACACAAAATAAATTTTTGATTATTGCTTTTCAAGAAGAAAATTTCCAATCTATCTACATTAATAATAGATTCAAAAATGGCATACATATGGTAGAATATGTATGATTGGTACATAACTGGTTGGAATTGACAGTCCTCCTCTTTGCAAATGATCAAAATAAACATTTGTTGTTAATGAACCTTTTTCTTTAACTATTAGCGATTTGCATATCTCGCAGTTTAGGTTTTTAGAGATAGCGTGTGAAGCATATCCAGATATATAAGTCTTAGTACTATCCTCTATGTCACAATTGGCTAAGTAATTTGTCTCAAATACTTCATTGAATATATCCAAAACTTCAGGATTTTGTTTGGTATCCAAGAAATCAAAATTTTCTTGAGTTTCTAAGCAGTTTTGGAACCTTGTTTTAATTTCTGCTAAAGAAAATGACGATTTCTTTTCATTGAAAATATGCTTCAGCCGTATTTTCTTTTCAGCATTTAAAATTTCATCATATGACACATTGTAATTGCAGCCACATAAAAGTCTATAATTGCCAAATCGTTTTTCTAAATTATCAGTGGTGAATTTTCCAGGCAATACATACTCAAATTGATTAAATGAATATTCGATTATATTAAGTAGAGTCAGCGTGCTTTGATATAGAGCTGTATACGTTTCTGGTGTCAGGTGTCCATTATTATTCTCTAGATTATGCCATTTTTCTAACCATATCAGGAATTTTTTTAAAAATTGTACTCTATAATCATATTTATTGGTAATAGGCTTACAAAATTCGTTTCGCTTCAATTCTCCTCTTATTATACTTGTATTACTGAAAATATCCCACCAATTCCTGATTATTTCCAAAAAGTGTGCAGCATCATTAAACTTTAATTCTTTCATAGCAGCTATTGTTGAGTGATGGAATAAATTATCTACAAAATTTACATTTTGCCTTTCAAATGAATTTGGATGCAATGTTTTATAATTTAATTTATATGCTTTCTTAACTACAGCTTCTTTTTCCAATTGATATACAGCACGAATGTTTTCAAATTTAGCATACTGAATAATATCATTATTGTCAAAATTAGGATATACAAAAGTTTTGTCTAGGTTTTTTAAATTAATCCAATTATTTCTGATACTCTTGAAAATATGCACAACATCATAAGTTAAATATATGTTCTTATCAGGATTATGTGGATTTGGAATAGAATACTTTTCTGATGAATCCTTTGCTAATTTCCTGAACATTGCTCTATTAATTCGGTGATTATCAGTAACAACACAAATAACTTCAAATCCACATTTTTGAACTAAATTTATCTTTGATCTTATCCATATCATCGAAATTCTGGATAGCTTTTTCATGTTTCTCAATTAATTTTTGTTTTCTTTGCATTGGTTCAGTTCTTTTGGGTGCTTCAGTTTTTGAAAGATATGATGTCAAGTTTGAGAAAATGCAGGGAACAGCATTTTCTTTCAATGTTGGATATTTCCAAGTTATATTATTTTGGACTGTTCCATCCGCCAGAACTATATTTTCTGTCCTGATGATATCCGATTCTCTAAAATGACGACTGCACACAGCTGAATATTTTGAAGGTGTCCAATTTTTTCTGGGAATTACCATAAGCCATTTGTTTTTCAGACTTTCGGTACTTGGGAAGCGAAAAGTTGAAACATAGCTTTCTATTTTCAAACCAGAATTATAGTTTGCATTGCATAAAGGAACACAGCAACAACGAGGCATATTGTCTGCGTCAAATACTTGATAAATGAAAAAAGAAAAATACAACCTGAATTTGCACGTTTTCAATAGTTGAAATCCTTAGCGTCCTGAGGCGCGAACAGCCACAGTCACACTTCTTCGTTTATTTTTAAAGCACAGAAGCACTACAACTGAAGTCTATTTCTCATATATTATAGTCACCGATCACTTTGAACACATACACACACTTTGAAGCTTAGAAAACAAGCTTATGTCTTAATTACAGCTTCTGGGATTCCAAAATCACAAATTGAAAAGGTTATGTTTTCTCAGCGTTTTGAGCACGAGTTGCGTCGATGCAGCAAGCAGCGGCGGGAGTAACACTACCACCTACGTTGCCAGATTTCTTTGTTCACGGCTCGTAGTTGACGTCGGCTGTGGTTATGTCTTAGGTCCCTTACCTTGTCAAGAAATACTACGAATTAACAGTAACCCTGTATATATATGTTCGAAGGTAAATATTTTGCAGGCATTGAAGACAATGGTATCTTACAGCATGTTTTTGAGAACTATGACTCTACTCTCAGAAGGCTAAAGTTGAGGATGCTATGTTGAATCCAGACAGAGCCATGGAAGAAATATATTTTTGTATTTGATTTGATGTTAATAAACTGGAAAATATATTTCCGTTGCATTTGTACATACCTTCTTCGTCAACCACCACAGCTATATCTTTCTAGAGAGTCGATGTACCCTTATTTATTTATTTATTACAATTTGGAATGTTCTCATCCAAAGCCAACACCCACTCACTAGGCTACAATAAAATGTGGGTAATGCGTACAAAAGTATGAGATATTGAGATAATACGAAAAATGACAAATATGATGTGATTATTGGTTTAAAAACTTGGATTTTACTTTATGCTTAACTCCTTCACTCACGAGCACCATCTGCTGAGGTAACGGAGGGGTGGAAAGGAAACGAGGGTGGGCTGGCCTTAGACGCTCGTCGGCGCTACTTTAAAAGAGGAAAGGATGACTGCGGGTGCGTACCGAGGTAAATTTTTATAATAACAGAGTCGAATTTCGATTAGCGATCTAGCCTGCAATTCCTTTCTTATTTTGGTACTCAGCAAGTGATCATTTTGTATTTTTCTTCCCTTGTTACTTTTCGTCGATATTGTGTTGTTGAATTGTTGTTGGTGCGATTGTTCTTGAGTGCCTTTTCTTATCAAGGCTGATAATGGACAATAAAGGGTCACATGCGACCATTTTAATTACGAATGCAGTGAGTTTAATTCATGATGAGGTCAACAATAGTGTCGAGCAGTTCAACTCTATAATCCCAAAATACATTGCGGAGTAAGCAAATAAATTATTACAAGAAGAGGCCATACCATGGAGGATGTGCTGCAGCTGTAGTGAGCCACAATACCCAGCGGCCTGTCTATGTGGTCCAAATTTGCGTTCTAAGCTTAGTCCAATCTCGCTTATCGCTAAGATGGAACAAAGACTCAAACGCAAGAATCTTGAAAAGAAACTCAGGCCAAAAAAAGCTGATATAAAAGTAACTAACAATTCGGATAGCACTTCCAAAGAAAATTAATAGTTTTATGGCGAATTCTGTCAAAAACCTGACATGAACGACATTGATTTGGAGGTCGCTAAGCAAGAATTTTTAGGGAAACTTAGAAAAAGTGACGACGAGATTTTGTAGATCGAACAAGTCACCAAATCACAGGACTGTACTTTGTAGCGCCTTGATCGGAGGATAAGGTTGACATCGTCTCGATTTGGTGAAGTTTGTAGAAGAACGCAGACAACAAGCTGTTAAGTCCTAGTGAACTCCATCATATACCCAACAGAATTTGCTGGTAATGCAATAAAACACATCCATTGCTGGCAGCATCGCCTCCATCTACCTATTACAGTAGACAAGAAATGTACTTAATCCAGGTATAAGCTTACCTGTTTATTGATTTGCAAAAACTACCTAAATGTTTCCTCTTATTTTGACGGCATAAGATATTTTTATGACCCCCGTTCAATTGTTACCATCTACCACATGACCCTTGTAAACATAATTGTGTTTATTGACGTCAATAAACGAATTTGAATTTGAGTTCTTGAATTTATTTTACTAAAGATATCAAATTATTTGAATACATTTGTTCTTAGTCGGAACGCACGGTTGCGTTGCTTGGACTGACAGGACTGAACAGTGGACGAATTTCGCCCAAAAACCGATTTGCACTTCACAGCTTACGTTTCATTTTTTTTATTTCCAAATGAAACTCTTGCAGCATGTTAAAGACAAAGTCCACAGGGTGCTAATGATCCACTTTTTCGATTTTATCCACTAGGATCTTTTTAAAATATCAAGCAGTTAAGCACAAATAGTAAGCATTTCAACCCACCATAATTCTTGCACAAAGTCAAAATTTTGTATAAAGCTCTGATAGCACCCTACGCAATTATGTCCTGCTTATATCCAAAAAAACATCACAAACTGCAGAACACAAATTGAAGGTAATGGCGAAATGGGTACATTTCACGGGTCATGAAATTCAAATGAAAATGCAGGTATAAAATCTACCAAATTATCATTCTCAAAAACTATTTCCTTGACATATCGATAATTTTAAAGTTCCACGCTAAATTCCCCTACACTTGACTGGTGTGATATCCGAATTCATTCTTCCTCCTGTTGGCAGTTGCAGATAGATCTGTTGGCTCTTGGTGTCAAACCTATAGAGCAGGTACCGATTTTTTCAAATCGTGAGCACATTATTCGTCGGATTTTCGTTATTTAAATTTCCTGTAATCACTGGGACCCGAAGCTTCTCAATAATAGAACGTGATTCACTGATATCAAAGATGAAACATTTAGAATCACCTTCCCGCAACTCCCACTTTTTAAGCAGTACAATTTTTTTATGTCAATGATAAGGAACCCCTGTAACGTCAAGAACGGAGTTTCAGCTACTACTGCTACTTTTTCTTTTTTGCCTATAGCACTCTTGACATTGTCGAAGTTGAACAGAAAAAGTGCGCACTTCAACCCATCATAAAACTTGTGCAAAGACAAAATTTCAAAAAGTGCTCCTATAGCACCCTGGGGAATTATCTTCTGAACATACTTTATGAATTTCATTCAAAAATATTGAAAAATGGAGTGACAGTTTCGAAGCAGCTGAACCCTTGTGAATGGCTTGAAACTCACTGCGTCGGAGCCGCCTTAAAGACAGTGATGTTATCACAAAACAAGTCCTCTTCATAAAGCTGATTGAAGGATCTTTGTGCTCTTACTAATGGAGTAGTTATACCCAAGTTAGTACGACAGCAAGGTGACTTAAACATGTTATAATGACGATAATTCCTATCTGGAATATTGAGGGAAAGCAGATTATTACAGTCATAAAGGTTATTATTGTATATATTACAAATATCAGAAATTATTCTTCTATCGAACAGTGATAACACACTAAATCTCTTCATAAGTGAACCATAGTTACTACTACATTTGAATGCGGTGTGATTTTAAAAACTTATTCTACATTCTTTGAATTCGATACGAATGAGTGGCGTAGAAAGGATTACATATAACCCTTAAATAAAGGTAATCGGTAGCAAAAAGAAAACAAATGTACGAAAACATAGTTTAGCAAGTCTGCATTTCTAGTAGTAGTTCAGGGATATCAAAATCCTTTATCCATATTGATGGAATATTTTTTTGTGTTGACACTTGTTTGTAAGGACAGTCTTATACGTAAGTCTGATGTACACACTGGTCGTCTAATACTAACTTGCTCGACTATAAAACTTTACTTACGACCCCTTTATACACAAGAAATCGTCCTTTGTAGTTCAGCTAATAATGAAGTTTTTCAAACTGTTGGTACTGTGGTCGATATCTTGATTTATCATCATGGTGTAAAAATATTAAATTATTACTGTTATAGTTTGAAAGACGCTATATAATTATAAGCTCCATCTCTCTAATTACAATTCTGTAAAGCTCCATTCAAATGAAACTAACAATATAGCGGCACATTCAACCGATGATAAGTTGGAAATTCCTAAAGGACATATAGACTTATGTGTACTTCATAAAAACTGTTCCAAAGAAATTTTAAATCGAACGACTCTGTCCGCACAATTTACGTGCGAATCTCGACAAAAACGGCAGAATTGAAAAAAAAGCCTCAAAATCAAAATCGACTAGAGATCCCACCTAATAAAAAAATATGTTCAAGATTCAGTATGACCGATTGCCGACAAAGGCACTCTACACTGAGAAAATTAGTAAAGCAATAAAAAAAAAACAATTTCCACCGAAGCTTTTCCTTAAAAAAACATAGCAGCAGTTTAACCGACATGAAATGACAGTACAAAATAAATGCCCATAGTATCTGCAAGAAGGCTGTTTTCAGAATGGAGTTTTCTGTCCTTTGCAGCCAGTTGGATATTCCTACGTAGTATTACAATTCTCAACATAATATGCTATATATAATGGTGCTTTTTTACTTTGCCTCAAAGTGAAAAACAATATCCAAAGCTTTGTGTTTCTGCGTCTTCCATTCATACAGTAGCATCTCTTGTTCTAGCCTTTGACCAGATTGAAACGATGTCATTATTATTTTCCCCTGTGCTTTTTTTATCTTATAAAGGTTAACTTTTATTTTCGTTTCACCGCACGGTCTAATAGGAATAATCATACATGGTTGTTTTCCATTTGAAGTATAAAGACAATAAAAACAGATAAATAACGTGGCTGCCACGCAGCAAAGGGGAGTTGAGAAAGCAGAAATAACATCAATGTTTGCTCCTGATAATCCGAAAAAAGAAACTCTGCTTTGTAGATACTTTTTCAAGCTCGCCAGATTTTTTAGTTAAAAATAATATAACAGCATAGCAGGAAATTCCATGATAGAGTCGAGAAGTACGTGGAGAGGAAGCTAAAGGTGTACTGATATAATTACCTAACTATTAACATAAAAAACAATCTAGAATCACTTTACTTTCCGTAGTGATTAAGAAAATACCTTAATGTCTGAAAAAGTCGGTGTGGGACGTTTTGTAAGTAAAAGTGTAAGATAAGCTAGATAAGGCAGCAGAGCTGTAGAAGGTCCTTTTTCTAGAAATGTGTAAAGTCAGTATTTGGATTTAGTACCTCCATAGATGAATTCCACGTTCTTGACATCCATGGAGTTACATCTGAAACTTATCTTGTTAGAGCGGTCCGTAGCACTTTTGCTCTTGGTTAAAGTATCGTGAGCCAGTAGATCTGTCAGGCAGAAACAAGAAGAACAGAGTAAAGAAGAAGATGGAGGAGCAAAGAGGAGGAAGTGTGTCAGTTTGAGGGGTACCTTGGCATTGGTAACTAGTATTCGCGAATTTCAAATTGATCCTAGAATTAATTTAGAGACTGGTTGATGGTGGATTGGTTGGACCCAAAGCGCACAAGTTCACAGTGCAAGCCGCGGTCTTGTGTGTACACGAACAAGGGGCTGCTTTGCGATTCTGCTTGACTCTAACGTAGCTGTGCTTGTTGTTTGATATAGTCCCTTACGTAAAGGATTTCCAGGACTCTGTGAAGG